ATAATGCTGACGGATGCTAATATCCACTTTCGGGTTGCAGCCCTTTTGAAATATTTCTTCAGCATTTTTTCAAGGTTATTTCTGTCTTTTCTGTGCGTGATGGTTATCACTGACCTCATTTTACTTGGAGTCCTCAAAGGATAGCATTGAGATATATGGATAGAGTACAACATTTACTTACTTCACTGTGTTTTATTAAGTTTTTGGTGGTTGCATGTCCCATTTGTGGATGGTAGTTTTTCTCGCTGACGAAAACATGACAGTACTTCCAGCTGTTGGACTTCCAACAAACATGACTACTGGCAGTAAAGGTTCTTTAGAAATGACAAAGTCTGCTTTTCCAAAACAGGATATGTACAGAGTTTTATCTTTTAAATTACTTGACAATGTTATAATCCAGAAACACATTTTGGAACAAGTCCTCTATTTTATCATTTGTGCTGTAAGAATGAAGCTAGTTACTGTGTGAAGCATTCAGACTGACTGATAGCTGCTGTGTGTCTCAGGGCATTCACAATAGTAATGTATTAGTCACTCTCTGAATACAAATTCACTGCCTATGCACCCAATGTTTCCAGTTTTATGGGATTGTTTCACACTGTAGCAGTAGGCTTTAAGGTCCCTATTTGGATCAAGTTGTTTGGCTTTAATCACGTCTTAAATTTGTTTCTTTGAGCCTAAATGTTGCTGAATTTTAATTTATCCATGCTAAGACCATCAAATGATTAAGACTTGTCAATAACAGAAGATCTGATTGGCCAGTATTGTGTTTGTAGATATTGATTCAATCCATAAAGCAAAATAACTAAAGTGACATTTTATTGAGCATTTGAAGTAGCAATACATTCATGTAAAAATTTAAAACACATTTACAATACTTCAAAATTTAAAAACTATAACTTTCAACCTGAAATTTAACTTTATTGTATAATTTAATAAGTCTTAAATTATTTAAAACTTTTTCAGAACCTGTGGAAACCCTGAAAGTTATTTTTACGCCATTTTTGATAAAGATTTAATTTATGAAATAACATTCCTTGGAAATGTGCTGTCTGTACTTTTGTATCATAGAAAAGTGAATAAAATGTTTAGATTGACCTTACTTTATAAATACAGATACATATTTTCTTGTTCAATTTATGAATTATAGCAATAAAAATGGTCCACACATGAATTCTGTTAAGTCCTCATTCTCACACTCCTCTCAGTCTCATATGTCACAAAGGAGGATTGGATGTAAACCTAAAGGGCAAAAGTGAGATTGAGATATGCCCCTTTAAAAGCTCCAGCTGCAGTGCATTTTTGCACTCCCCACAAGAGCCTATCTATCGTGACTAACTGTCGACATAAATGTGCATATAAACATTTTGGAAGAGAGCATCAGACTGAATCACCATGAACTCCCATGGGACTTATTCCTGCAAAAAATTGCTTTGGATAATGAGCTATCTGCATTATTCATGACAATCTGACAGATCTGCCTCACAGATACAGGGACTAATCATCACTTTAATATACAACATTAAGTTAGTATTCCAAACGAATGTTTTACATTGAGGAGCTGTATGCTGAAAAAATGTCTTGCATTGAGGATTCCGGATTTCTTTTTATTTCACTTCTAATATTTCAAGAGGCCACTCTCAATGATATCTCTATTTGAATAGTCAAGAACAAAAAACAATATTCTTAGACAGCATTGTTGACCTGCAATCATAAGGGCAAAAAATTATTCTACAAGGACTACTCATGTGTACAAAGCAGTGAATAGAATATATGTCCTTGAAGGCTTGTTCCACTGACAACAAGAGTGGTAACCTAAACAGATCTTACGAGCTGTAAATAAAACAAAAGCATACTCTGTAGCTATTTGGTGAAACATTACTAATTGAAAGAGGGCAGAAAGATCTATCTATCATGCATACAATCATGTCAAACTAAATGAAACAAATGAAAAGAAAACCTCATTAACAATTATTTATACTACCTCTTTGCCTCTTGGGTAAATAGGCATACTACACTCTTTTATGGGTTATTTTATTAATATGTGCAAACTGATTGGATCATTGTGTGCCCAAAATCTATTTTTTTTATTGTATCTGCTGTACTTTGTGCACTAGTTGCACAGCTCATTCTTTATCTCAAAGTAAATGAAAGACCAGGAATAATTATTCAGGAAGCATACAATAATCCAATTTACCATACATCAGAAGCACACAATTTCCTTGGGACTTCAGTGCTCCTGAGGCACATTTATTAAGCCCCTAAAAAGTTTTAATTTATGCAGCAATATAGAAAATTTACAACATTAAAATATATGACAAACATGAGAAAATAGCTGTCTTCTCCTATTACAGTAATTTTATGTTTTGCTGGTGTGCTTAATTGTCCTTTCCTCTTGTCTACTTTTAAACATGTACACTACACATATTGTTAGGGTCAGACATGGAGAAGACAAAAAAAAAAAAAAAAACAGAATAAGAGACTGATAAAAATTTTCAATCCCTGAATCCTTAACCCATTTTGATACGTAGTTCTAGGGTGGGTGGAATCACAGGTGGTTTATCATTGGACAACAAAACTCTGAAATAGCAGTGTTCACTCTCTTTATCCGCAGTTCTGTACAGGTTGTGTTAGGGAGGATGATTTAACCCGGTTGGGAAAGTCAAAGGCTGCATTTTTGAAGAAACCCTGGATCCAAAGAAAATTTCAATCTTCTGTTGTGTATTCAGTGACTGTCCCAGCCAAAAATAAACCTTATTTTCTTAGACATAAGCTTATCAAAGCTCCCGCAGAGAAGAACCTGGGAGGGTTATAGATTCTCCAGAAAGAGATGTATCTTTTGAGCATGTCTATTGTGAAACTGAACTGCTAATTCTGGGTGTGACATCATCATGCCTAGTATTTGTTCATATAAAAATGTTTTAAACATCCACCTTGGTACTCAGTCACTGTGATGGCTAATTAATACACCATCCAGGATCAATTGACCAAAAGGTTATTGACTTGTAATTCATGTCAATATTTGTATTAAAATAATGTTTACATTTCCCTTTTGCATTGCGAATTAATGTTCTCAATACACACATATAAATGAATGTACACAGATGCACATATTGTACACAATCATCAAAATAGAAAATGGTGTTTGATTCAAAATCTTTTATTCTTTAGTGAATGTTTTTTTTTATCTTTTGTTTCACTAATGAAGGTAAAATCTTCATCATGAACTTCATCACAGCATAACACCTTCCCTGCAATCAGTGAAGGTCAGTTGCAGTCATTGTTTAAGTATGGCCTTTGTCCCTTTATACTGTGTAGGGTTTTATTTTTCTGTTGCTGAGTGACTATTGACAGTGATTGGTACAAGAGACACAGTGATGTGTGTGCATACAGTATATAACTTGCAATGCACCATCCTGATTCTTCTGATTCTCTGTCCTTTTCAAAGAGGACAGAAATTGGCTGAGAATAAAGAAACAGATGAAATGCAACTCTTCTCAACACAAATAAGCCATTTCAACTGGCAGGCGTATTTTCCTTAAGGTTCAAAATATACCAACTGTATATACTCTGTCCAGTCACTTTACTAGAAACACTTGTTTAAAATACACGTGTCCACAAACTGAACCAGTCATATGGTCAACTAAATGCATTGAGGCATCAAGATGTGGTGAAGACAATTTGCTGAAATTTAAACAGAATGAGAACAACAAGGGATTTAGATTCATCTAAACATGATGTGCCTGTGGTAAAAAAATGAAAACAAAATAAAACCCAAAAAAACAAAACAAAAAAAACTGCCCCGTCATTGTCAGATATCGCTTCTAAATGATAGGGAGGAGACGATAGCTTAAATAACCACTAGTTAAAGTAAATATATTTGGAATTGTATGATGTTAGCAAGTTAATATGGTCAAAAATCTCTGATAAGTGTCTTTGACTTCTTGTTGAATCTAGGCCATGTAGTACCTTATCAAATGAGCAGTGAGTGAATATACAGCATATAGCTACTCCCACTCATTTTCTCCTGCTACTCTTTTTCTGCATTATCTGAATTTATTGGGGCCATTATTTGAAATAGATCGCTCTCTCTACCATATGCTTAGCACCCTAATTGAACTCTTTCCTGAACAAAACCATTGAAGACGTTATTGCTGCTAGTATTATAGATAATATAATTCATTTGATGTGCTCTCTTTGTTTGTCACTCCCTCAGAAAATCCAGCTTTTGTGATTGGCTGTGTATCTTTCCAGGACAAAGCAATGAACGGCGATATTGCTGCCATTAAGTCTGTGTTTTCTGCTTTTTTTTTTTTAAAGAAAGGACTCCAGAATTAGTGTTTCGGTTTTTCATTTGTATCTTCTTTCTGTACTCTGAGCCCCCAGTTGGTTTCTCAACTTGAACTTGTTTCTGCTGGAAATTTCCTTCAGTTAACAAGGAAGGGGTTTCTCTTCACTGTGACCACATACTTGCCCAAGATAAGTGAAATAACCACTAGTTATTTCACTTATGAAATAACTTGAGGAAATAAGTTGAGGATCAAAATATCTGGCTGGTCTACCTTACATTATCTCTGTACCTGATGACATTGCTTAATTAGTGAGAAATATAAGAGATGTGACATTGCTCATAGTTGCTTTTTTTCCTGCTATGTTAAAAAAAAAAATTATGTGAGCACAATATTTAGTTTTAAATATATGCAGTGGTCAAGTAAATGAAAAAAAAAAATTGCTTCTATCAGCATCGAGCTGAACTGTAGCACTGTGTCAGACTTGCATATGGGTTCCAATATGCAAAGCAATTCTGCCTGTTGGATGATATGCAAACACTAATCCTTGAGTTATGGAAACAGCACGTCATGTAAACGCCAATATTGTTGAAGCTTGGATGCTTCGTGATTGTGTGTCAACCCATCCATTTAGTGAAGAGTTTAGAGTTATGCAAACACATTTGTCAGAGTGCCTGGATAAATCTGATTCCAGACTGGTAGTTTTCTTACCTGACCTCTCCTGGATCTTCGGTAACCAACATATCTGTCTTGCAGCTGGCAATTGGGTTGATTGACAGTTCCACTGGTGGCACTACAAAGATTTTACTGACTGGGAGCCACAACCCTTGGCCCAAACTGTAGAATGATCTGTGCAAACATAAAGTATGCAAATGTTACTTGAGTTCAAGTCAGATTAAAACATTTTGACAGAATATGTGGTGTGGTAGAGCGGGTGACCAATGTACAAAGGCCTCAGTCCTATTGACCTCTACCATCTTTCCTGTCAATCTACTATGAAAGCTAATACGGAAAAAAAAAAAAAAAAATTAAAAATACAGAATAAACCAGCTGATGTTCGATGCATTGATGCAAAGTGGAACCTAGCTCAAAGCAAGTGTCAATAAGACATAGATTTTTGACTCTGGTATACAAAATGTACTGATTAGCACAGAATCATCCCTTAAACTCAAACGACCTTTTTTGAAATGAATACAATCAGAGATTGCAAGCTGGGCTTGCTTTCAACAGTAAGGTCTGACCTCACAAATGTAATTACAAAAGTATGGTCACAAAATCAGAATGAACCAGCTGATAAAAAATGCTCATAGAACTAGTGTAAAAAAAATTCCAGAGAAGTTGGAGCTGTTTATCAGCAAAGAGTGGGCCCTCAAATTGATATTTTCATTAATACACAAAATAAAATACTTACGGCAATATTATTAATCTCTTTTGAACTGTCATGAATATATTTTAGAAGATGAAAATATGTTATTATTTACTGTCTGAACAGATGATTGTATAACTGAATGAATAGAAGAACCTAAAGGCTAATTTTCTTGTTTTTTTAAAAGGTATTCAAATTAGTGTACCCCCAAAAAATTATATTTAAAATAATATTAAGTTTAGCTTCTGATTCTGATTCTATTCTGACTGTATATGATTAACTTTTCCACCAACAGATGAAGCTCCACTTCTGCCACCAAGGTTATATAATCACTAATTTAAGGATAGAGATAAACTTGCAAACTCTGACAATATTCAAGGTACTGAGATTTCTGAGATGGGTAGCATTGAAACACCAAAGAAGGATTGTTGTACCGTGATTTATTTGTGTAAATACAATTTAAACTAGCTAAATACACCTTTGTGTGTTCAACAAATGAACAGAATGTTATTTCATTTCAAACATCCCAATAAAAAACCTACAACGTGCCAATTTCCTGATTTAACTCAACAAATTTGAATAGATTTCACTCATCACAACCACTGCTCAACATCTGACAGTAAAAAAAAAAAAAAAAAAAAAAAAACCTTGAGACCACAAGATGCTTTTATTTCTCACTGTTCAGGCAGCTCTGGTTTTACTAATAGCCTGCCCACTGTGAATCTAATCCCTGTTTTGATAAACTTCCTCTCTTCACTGACATAGAGGAATGATTTCGTCCAGCTAAGGAGCATTGCCGTCTTCTCCCCTCCTACTCTAAGCAGCACAGATATGAAACCAGTCCAACTCCAGACTAATACAAGTTTCCACTTTACTGCTGCAACCTAACTCACTTGTGTTGTTATCTGTACTGGTGTGTTCAAGGCTGAATGCATTTTGCACTGCAACTGAAACTGTGTATTTGGTCAGTGCCTGAGGTTTTGTGTGTGAGAGCTGATCACGAACATATTGTGTAGCCTTTAACTGGCTGTGCAAGTGTAGAAAGGAGAGTGTTTCTGTCCAAAACACAGATTGTGAATTTAGTCCATCAGTTCTTATAATAGACTCCACCTGAACAACCATCTCTGCAAGGTCAGTGTAAAGTGAAGCAAGGCTATGGTGAAAAAGAATTACTCCAACCTACATAAAGAAGGTCGAGGGAGCATGAAATAGGTGTTCAATTTCTCAAAATCAGTACCCATCATCTTTTAGAATGTACACCAGTTTCTGTATTTTCGGGTGGGTTGGTTGGTTAAAAAAGAGCAGCTGGGCAACAGAGAATGGGTCCCTTGCCTTTTACACATGATGAAAAATGTCAAACACAATGACCCCATCAAGATTGTGGAGTGAAACAAAAAATGGCAGTAAAAGCATTTGAAATGAGGCCTTCCACAAGTTTTCCTTGGGCTATTCTGCAAAAACACAAAAAACCCACTGGCAAGACTTTACTCCACCAATAAGGTGTCTGTCTTTGTCAGTACAGGTGTATCATCTGCCAGCTACTTATCGGTATGCTCTGTCACACACATGCAAGTCACATGCCCAGAACATGACAACCATACAGTTATAGACTCACAGATGTCCAGCTCAAGTCGTATGACCAGGAAATGCACCAAGGTGTAGGACTCACCTGAAGATTCTCTCTGGGGCCTGCGCTCCTGTAACTAGGTCGTAACCTTTCTCGAAGTGAGCATATGGCCAAGGACTTGATTCCAGAGAAACAAGAACAAAAACAAACATTATTCCTTTTGGTTTGTAGATTAGCAATGTCATTAAAAGTTTTTTTCAAGCACAATAACTTCATACAAGCCAATAGTATTGATAGTCCTTGCGCTTTAATAATGTGATAGAGTCTTGTTAAATGTATTGAGAGTAAAAGAGTAATATGACTATGAACATCTATTTTAAGTTCTGACCTTTAGACTAGCTATTTAAATATACTATACATAATTTTTCTCATGGTTTGCCTTTTTTCATTTTGTTTGGTTCTGTTTTTACGATGCTGTTTGATTTTTCTCTATATATTCCCCAAACCTGGTCGTCAAGTACCCCTGCCCTGCATGTTTTAGGGGTCTACGACTTGCTTCAAAAAACCTGAGTTAAATGAATGTGTTAGCAGGCTTCTGTAGCATTTGGTGGCTGCAAAGAAAGTCATGCAATCATTTGAATCAGGTGTGCTGGAGCAGATACACATCTAAAACATGCAGAACAGGGTTGAGGACCAGCTTTGGGAACCACAGCTGCCACATACATGTGAAGCCTTCTCAGAACAGTTGCACTGATACTGAGGTTGAATTACACATAAATGATTTTCATTTACAGAACAGACAGCTTGTGAATGCAGTTGATTGCCTCTTTTTTATTCTCTTAGCAGTATCAAAGTAAATTTGAATAAGAATGCATGACATCCTTTGCAGATCAGGCCACTATTTGTAGACAACATTTTATAACAGTTTATCTGCAGTCTTCTGAAGGCATTAAGCACAATATTCACAAACTTTTGAGACGGCATAACATTTCTGTAATGATTTTCATCTGTGATCAAAATTACCTAAATAAGACACCTAATGAAGACAATCATACTTAATATCTTGGCAGAGGTTTTCTGTTTAGGATTAAACTTTGGCATTTCTTTTAGAAAACAGTGAATGTAAAATTGATCAGTGATTGGACTGAAGCCAAGTGATGACAAGCAAAGCTGGAATAAAATGTGATCGCTGACAGGAAAAAGCAGCTAATTGTCGAGGAAGGTCAGGGTGGTAGCTTGCCTTCCTTTCCTTTTGGTTGCCTTTTAAGGACTTTCTTTCCATCTCACGCTTCAAGTACTCCCAGGCTGATATATTTAATTACGTGACACAACGTCCTTCCTACTTTCTTTGTACACTCGTTTCATTCTTGAAAATGATGTTAACACTTTACATATATATGCCTTAGCATGTTTTAATCCATTAACTACATAATCCTCAAGGCTCTCTGCAAGTGTATACCCAGGTTTACCCTTGGGTTTTAAATTATTTGAATATTGCAGTACGGAAACATAATGGTAAGCAGATTTGAAACTTGCTTTACATTCGAAAATTTTATAAATATGTCAAGAAAAGTAGCCTTGATATATTAGATAAATGTAATAAAATATGCCAATAGAGGAGAGTTCATGGATTTTGAAATAATTTCTATGGGTCTTCAAACAGAAGCAAGTCTTTAGATGTAACAGAAAGAAGCAAACACGTCTTACCCTTCATTGCGACTCCAGTCACTGCGAACACAGAGATGTTTATGGACAGGGTCAGGGGAATAACCCTCATGACAGCTGCAGTCACCTGTGGTACAAAGAAGAGGATAAAATACAGACAAAAACGTTTATTATTATTATTTTTTTCCTTACTGAGGAACTTTACTGCCATTTAATTTGGCCAAGGCTCTCTTATTCATTAAAGATGCATCAACTAACACGTGGGTGGTTTTTATAATTGTACAGCTCATTTTCTTCATTGAGGTAAAAATGAAATTAATTTGCTTTGAAACTAATCTTATTAGCTGGGGTCAGTTTTAATATATTTACCTGTGTGACACGGATACTCATTTGTATTGTGTTGAAACAAGCCTTTGTGTTTATATGTTTCCACAGCCGGTTGGTTGTTTAACTGCAAGGTTACAATTAAGATTTTGCCAACATTTCTTGATCGCTTTATTTCCACACCCAGAGCCCCTTAAGAGTTTCTCCTGCTGACAGGCTACATGGAGGATACCTGCCCACAGCAACAAACGTGGTAATACATGGTGTGATGACCAGTATCACTTTCCTTTGGTTTACCAGCAAACTCACCCAATCTCAATACCATAGACAATTTATGGATTTTTCTTTCTTTTTTTTTTAAAGTGAACATAGACACTGTACTGAACAAAGTAGATAAGCTGAAGGCCACTGATGAGAGAAACTATGTTTTCATGACCTCACAGCAGAAAATCAGGACAGGCATCTCCGTCTGAACAAGTTTTTTCAAAATGTACCCCAATTAAGTTTAGAGCACATACAGTAGTCACCCTGCTCTTCACTAAACCAATATTACTGTGTTTTCTCAATTAGTTTTAACAATTATGAGAAACAATTAATTTTGTTCAGCTTACTGTTTTATATTATCTATTTTTCTTATTAGCTCTTAGTCATAATCATCAAAATGAACAGAAACGAGTACTTAAAATATATCACTATTATAACAGAAGAGTTTCTGGAACTGTATTACAGAAACTTTTCAAAGAAATCCAAATTTCTTTGAAAAGTTTACATTTATTTGAAATATATGCGCCTGCATATATTTAAAAAAGTTAAACCTGAAGCTTTATGAGAAGGATGGCTACAGAAATGTCTCATATTGCTTCAAAGTCATAAGCCTCACCTGAGCAGCATCTATACACGTTTTTATTTTTCTCAGAGACGTGCTAAGGGGAGTGGATGTTATTTACTATGAATATAAACAACCAAAACTGTAGAACTGTCATACAGGCTTGTTATGCAGCTACAGATATGGCCAATTAAACACATTCCAAAGTAACACTGTTGAAGCAATAATAGTATGCTTAGCTTTATATAGCTATGTTGCTCAGCTCATCTTTGATGCCAAGAGTAAATTTCAGGCAGATGGACAGACAATATAAAAGCAAGATGGATCTCTCCAGCAGCTGTCTCCTGCTCACATCAAGATTGCATGTGCCTCATGCTGTAACTTGATGAATACTATTGTAAAATCTTAAGACCCTATATGAAACAGCCTTTTGTTCACAATGCCGTAAAATCAGTTAATTAATTTATTTCAACAAACTCATGGTCCACATGGACATTAGAAAAAGTGTGCAATGTAAGATTACCAGCAGGGTAGTTACACTAATTTCACAATATAAGCTAATATGTTAAAATTAGTATTTACTGACATCTATACATTTAAAGGGGATAAAAAAATAAGAACTTTTCTAATCACAGCTACTAAATGCATTTCTTGAACGCAACAAAAGCTGGGCTGTAATGTGAAAAATGGATGTGCTCACACATTAATAAGAATATAAAATTTCCCATGTTTCTTTTAAGACACGTACAACATGTTTTCTGAAAGTTGTAGTCCTTGTAGAAAGAACACACATCATCTATAAATTCTTGAGTTTTGACATTAAAATGATCTGACTTGTGCAATGCACACTCTATTACCAGATTGTGAAATTGTTTATCTCTAACCTCAAGTGTAACAGAACCATCAACCACTGATTTCACCATCTTATTATTTATTAAACATAAAAGTTCACATTAATATTACTCCAAACCCCTTAAATACATTCAAAATATGAAAAACATTTAGATTTTAAGTGGGTGTTTTTTATTTTGGCACAACTGCAGATAGTAGTTGAACTGATTACACTATTAGAAGTATTTGTTATTACACAACTTTGTGTGCTAGCTGTAAAGCTGCCAAGGGACATGTTCTATACACCTTTTCCACCTTGTTTCAGATGAGGTGCACTAGCCTGGAAGCACTTTCCTACTCTAATCTGAAACAGACCCTGCAAGTAATCAGTGAAGTGCGGCTCTTTCTTCACTGCAAACACATTTAGGTTGGGATCAAGCAATTAGCAGGAAGATTTATGCCTGGCTGATTACACGCCCTGCTGAGTTAACCTTTAACCAAAGTCAGGCGCATGTGTTTGACCTGTCAGTCTTTTTGCATGAAAAAGTGCTGTTCAGGTAGATAAAGATTGATTTTCTTGCTGCGATGCAAAGCTCATTTTATTGTTTACCAGGCTCAAATAAGCCCAGTGAGTGTGACAGAGTGTTAAAACATATCCTTTGTAATAAAAACACACTTTGAAAAGGTTAAACAATAGTAAAAACAGGAGATAAGTAAGCTGCTTAAGCACATGTCAACTGCATTTTTGAATATTACAGACCATTTGAATCAATGGTTCATTTCATAACAGATAAATGGCAATAGATTTGTGTTTGTTTTTCTTTTGTTGGTTACTATGTGTATGAAAAATACTTTTATTTAAGGGCACAAAATCTATACTTAGTAAATCAGCTGGACTGATGGGTATCGGAAAAACAATTAAAACAATTAAAAAAAACAACCTGCTCTTTAAGAATCAGAAGATCTTAATTCAAAGCATTTATTAGTAGTATTTAATTTTTGTTTCAGGCCTTTGTAAAATAAATATTCCTAATTACTTCCAATTAGCTACTTCCATGCCATTTTGATTTGTGAATAGGTAATGTGCTTGTTTTTGAAGCGTCCATAACATGGGTTAATTTAGGAATTTAAAAGATACGGCCACAACATCTTCTAGTTCTACATTAGAGAGACATACTCAGTTGTGATTCCAAATCACCATTAGATGTGCAACACTGTGCAATTGTCCTTAGCCAGACCATCTAAGATTGTAGGAATACACAAACTCGGATAGTGCAGATGGGAACAGTAAGATGCTTTATGCAGACTAATAGAACATTACCAATAAGTTCCCTGTTTTAGCTCTTTTCCCCAGTCTCTCACATCAACCGTTCCCTCTGTTCTAAATTAAGAGGCCAAAGCAGTTAAACAGAGGCAATCAAACAAGAGCACAAAGCAACTCCGTTTCACATCTTGCTGGAAATGATGTTCGTCACCGTAATAATTTCTGTATCTCTTTCTGGCTGCGTGGATGATTTTCACATTTCAAGGTTCATAGTGTTGGCAGAGAAAAGATTTATTGTTGGACGGATGCCTATTTGTGCTTGTAATAATATTTCCAGAAGGAGAAGTCATTCTTCTTAAAGAACTTGGGCGGATTTAATAAGAGTTTTCTCCCAGGAATGTGTGAACAGCATACATGTGTTGATTCACATATATGCAATGTGTTTAGGTGGCCAGCTAAAGCAGCTGATAAGATACTCTCTAAACCTCTTCACATCTATTTGTACATATTTTTGAACAAATACAAGTCTAAGAATTAAGATGTGCATTTCTATCCATCCCTCCTGGGTTTTTACTTTGTAAAACCTCTTGATGTTGCAATTACAAGTGCAAGTTTAAGGGGGTGATCCATATCAGCTTTACATATCTGGCATTATAATTTTTTGGCAATCCTTTGCAAATTGCTCAATATCAATTGTGTTTTGACAGAACTTTTGTCTGACTGTCTGTGAATCACGTTTATTTCCTCAAATTTTCATCTGGATTCAAGACTGGTCAATACAGAACATTAACATGCTTTGGTCTAGAGAATTCCCATGGCTTGTAGGATACTGCATAAAACCCTGAATTTAGTGTCTTTTCAACAATAGCCATTCTTCCATAAAGAGTGAATATTAAATAGTTGTCTGGTGCCAGATTCACCCACTTAAGCTATGGATGTCTACAGCTCCTCCAAAGGCACCTGGGGCTGCTTCTCTGATGAATGCTACTCTCTCCTAATGACCATGCATTGGTACATTTGTAGATGTGCCACAGTTCTTCTATATCTAGACTTTATATCAATAAAGCCTTTTGTATCATGATGTTCATTATCATCATTATATTAATTTAAAAAAATCTTGAACCTTACTTTTAAGATTATTTTTTGCTTTGACTGCAAAAATTGGAACATATATCTAAAAGTAAATTGCTTCGTCAATTACTTCCAGTGACTCTTTTTTTTTTTGCATTCAGACAAGAAATATTGCATTATTAGTCACCCAATTATGGACAGTCAGGGTTTGAACAGAAAGCAGAAACAATTGCATCATCTCTGTATGCTGACCTCCATGCTGGCAGGTGAATTATGGAGTGAATGTGGAGGAAAAGAGGACTGATTATCAGGTCACAGTGATACAGCGACAGGTAGTCAGCAGTGCCTGTCAGCAGGCTTGACAATGAGGCATAGTAGAGGGGAAGAGGATGATGGAGATGCTGTTAGAGAACCTATGGAAACACTTTCTTGTTTGTGATTATAGAGGCCAGGGAATGCATGTCTGAAGCCTGGCTCCTCTGAAAACTGACCATCTTGACAGGTCTAAAGGCCAACATTTTAACTTTAGAAAAGTTTGTACAGAGTTCAGATAACTTTCCGTTAAAATGCATAAAAAAATAATTATTTGAAGCATTCTTCTAATACAACCATGTGAAATGCCTAAATTGTTGGGCTTTGTGACTCCATTTTTTAACAAATGTGAATCCCATTTCAGTCAGTAGGATTTGCTTTTAAGCATTTTCATTATGTAAAATTCTGAACATTTGAGACATAACTTTGTAACTACTGTACATAAACTAGGTAATACAGGGATGATGACTATTGAAGGAATTGTGATTCTATTACATTGTTTTGAATTAAACAACTGACTGTACATACAGTTCATTTCAAAATATTCATTGGTACCAAAGGGGGTAGTGAAATTCATCCTCCATTATTACATCCCTGATCCATATCTAGAGGCAATAATAAACCTGTAAATTTCTTTGAACCACAGGAAGTAATTCTGGATTGCATAAAAAATGAGGCACACGATATTAACTACAAATACAGAAAGCAGCAGCAGCTGTTCAGTATAGAGACATGTGTCATCCTTTAGTGTCAATCTAATCTGAGAAATATGCTAATCAGCGCAATCTGATGCCGACTATAACATACTGAGGACGGCCCACAACAACTTTGCCTGTTTTTGAAGCATTGAATGTATTTGGCAACTCAGCTCTGGGGAAATTCTCTGCAGGTGAATGCTGCAAGTCGTACATTATAACTCTTTGTCTCCATAATCACAGCACGATGTGCTGAAATCTCAAAGTACTGTGGTTTTAACAGATTCCCTTTTGTAATGTAAAAAGACAAAATAGGCTTATTTGACTGTCTATTTTGGGGTTGATTGTTTATTTTGGAACTGTGAGGTGAAAGGGCCAAAAGTAAAGAGGGATTTTTAAAGCATTTGTAAACCACTTCTGAATTGTCTTTCCTATGGTCTAAGCTTGAACCTTTTTGTCTAAATTCCTTACCTAGGAAAATCCACTATTGTATGTTGTTATAAGATTTTTAAAAAAAGTTTCAGGAGTGATTTTGCAGGACAAATTACTGAGCTTTATTGCATGGTCCTTTAACCAACAGTTTTAATTTTCTGATGTTGCAGTTACCAGATCAGATTAGAAGTATTTTGACCATTCAGCAAAAAATGAACAGGGCCGGTAATTTAAATTTCCAAATTTAAATTTAAATTTCTTCCTTCCAGTCCAACCCACATCTACAGCAGGTATGATTTTGCTTCATTTGTTGTGTTCATTTGACATTTTACTCTGTAACAAATGACACAATTAAAAGCTGTATTAAATATTTAGAACATTTTTATCGCGTGTTTCATCAAGCATTTAAAAGGACGTCCTGTAATAGAAATCTTTTTAAGAGCACTTTTGGCACCTTGGTGAATCATTATTCACCAAGGACAACAAAAATACTTAAGAGCAATTGCTGATTACACAATCTAGCTATGGATAAAGACAGAGGAAAGGAGAACTAAAAGGACAGTGACAGGAAGACAGCAGCTCTTACAAAGTAAACATTTTGAATGCAGTGAGGGCTGGATAAATGACTCAAAAATTGAGTTACAACCTTTAATGATTTCACATTGCAGCGACGTGCAGGGACTAATGAACTGCAGTTGGATGCACTCTTGTCTCTACACATCCGGAATCTCCAAACACATATGTGCCAATTCCATCTTTGGCATTGTTGTGTGTACCGACTGGGCTGGGAGTCTGGGCCTCTAATACATTATGCATCAGCCCTCAGCATGTCCTTGACTTGGGTTACATAAATTTCACATACATTACAGATGTAATCCATTCTAATGAGCTTAGATTTTATCCAGTTGAGCAAAAAGAAAAAAAGAAAGAAAAAAAAAACACTGGGGAAACAGACCACTCAAGGTAAGATAAATATCATCAAGCTGCCTGCTCAGCTTTTGCTGGGACGGTTTTAATGTCACTAGGTGCAAAGCGTTCTGTGCTGAATGTGTACATACTGGAGCTGGTGGTTGTTTATCGAGATGCGGCGAAATACAATGGCAGTTCTGCTTACGCAGTGTATGTGCTGGAGTCTGGCTGTCACTCCAAGTATAGACAGAGGACCTTCAGAGAACTGTTACATTTACCTAAAGTAACACCTGAAAACAAAACAAAAAACATTTTCTTGAAATATACACTGCTGCTTGTGTTATTTTAGATTCATAGCAAATCAATTATGAAATGCTGCCAATGGGACATCATTCAAAATACTTTACATATAATATATAAGGTGGTAGATTCTGCAATAGTCCTAAGCTGCTGAAGGACAAATTGTCTGCCTTTTTTCACTGCTACTTTTTTCTTTTACTACTCTTCAATTTGTATTATTTGTTATTTAACCTGTTAACTTATGCCTACTCCTGTTTTTTTTTGGGGGGGGGGTTGTGTTTTATCATATGTAGATTATTAAAGTTTTTATTGTAAGAAACTCATACCGGCTCACACATGCTACAGGAATCATTCACTGCTATGTGGAAAAGAAAGAGAGCCTGTGTTTATATTGAATGAGAATGTGCTGGGTTGTGTGAACCAACCTGTCTCCTGGTCACAAATCTGTTCACAGGGCTCAGTGGTCCTTTGACCACAGTAGTCATGGACCCACTGTGTTGATGAATTGGTCTGGTAGTAAAGCGTTAGCTTCGCTGGATTTAGCCAGTTGGAGACATCCAGAAAGCTGCCCATGCTCACCACAAAACTGCTTCCTGGAATACAACAAATGATAGATTCATTTAATTTCATATATGCAAAAAAAAAACATTCTGAAAAAAACTAAAATAGCCAAAAAGAATATGTCTTATAGGTATGTTTTAAAAGCTTCTTTAGATATTCCACTGAAAAATTAATTGGGGTAGAAGCCAATTCTTTAGTTTTCACTGTAATTTTATTTTCCATCCTAACTGGACTGAATTTCAATGAGAAAATTAAGACCCATAATGTGTGTATCGATGGGATTTCCTTGGTAATTGCAGCACATGGGATAAAGGGTTTCACAAGTCAATCAGTGAATGCTATTCTTACCTTTCTTTCTTACAGCTTTCAGACCAATCGTTATACTCTGATCACTGAACAAGACTATTCCTAATTGATGCCAATGAGTTTCAGTTCCACAGGGAGCTGTGAGGGGATTGTGCTTTAGCCCTCTAGTTAAAGTCTTAAGCAGCTGTACTGAGAGTATCAATAACCAGAAAATTAAAACCACTGGCAGGCAGGGTAAGTAAAATGTGGACTCCAGTTTAAAATAAACAACCTTCAACAAGGGAACCTCTGGTCTAATTATTTTGGATTGATGAATGTCACCTTTGATTGTGTTAATTCTCTCCTGAAGACCAAGCACAGACTCTACTTTGCAATAACGCTCCTCGAAAGAAGTGGCCACTTCCAAGAGGTCAATGTACTCTGCTGCTCTGCATAAACTGCTGAGAAACAGCTTGTAGAGCAAAGAGCCAAAGACTCCGACTAAGTCTCCAAATTCCCTAGATCAAACTCTGATGCAATGTCCGGGGAATGCACTGGACCAGACCAACAGATGCCTTAACCTCCAACCCACAGGACTAAAACAAAAAATCAGCTGTCATTAGTACACACTGATGTGCTGTGATCTAAAGGTTCTACTACATCTCTAGCTTTTTCTTTAGAGTTGTTTTTTTGTGCTGAAAAGCAAACCTTAACTCCAATCTGTAATTCCTTGTGGAATGCCTGACCTTTAGTTGACCTTTAGTTGTTCTGTCAGCAGAGTCTCCCACCTGAACTCCTCGAAAGTTACCATATGCCCATTGTCTCCATTTCTGCTTACTGTGCTCCTTATCTGACCTGCTAGTTTAAATGGAAGAATGACTCTGTAGACTCTAAGATGTTTCATTCTCTTTTACATTTTAGCTGATGGACTGGACTTTATTTTGCAAAAAGTTGAATGCATAATGTTTCTGATCTTATTTTGAAAAAACTATATATACAGTATATATATCATGGGTAGATATCACATGTATGTCAATTTTCAGTCAGAATATTGTGAAGTGCATTGTGGTTTTATACTTTCTAAGAAATTAGGGATATTGTTGCTGCTTTTAAAAAAATTAAGTACCCCACAGAAGCAGGAGTAAGCTATATAATCTCCAGAACAGACTCTTAAAGTAATCTGCTGGGTCAGACTGAGTACAGGCGACCATACTGATACCCATTCTTGCAAGAAGGCAGTTTAGCTAAAGTCTCCACTGAGAGAACAGATAAACTTAAAGTTCTCCACCCACACAGTAGAGCTGCAATTGTAACATTATTGCTTCTTTTCTCTTGGATGTAAAAAAAACAAACAAAAAAAAAACACTTAAGCCGTAGGAGGGTTGTTTATTTCACAGTACACATTTTCTATTCTTAGTTTTCCTCCAGTCCATCAATTGAGCAAAGAAAAACTGGAGAGTTAGTCTGAGAAATAAATATTTTTTTTAAGTGTGAATTTATTGCGAATGCAATGCTTCGGAAGTGCACATGCTTGGATGCATCACCTCCAACACCAATGGAATTATATGTCACAGGGAAGATTGAAGCATCAATAACTTGGAATAATTATTTTTAATCGATGTTATATGTTAGAACTCTGATGTTTTTCAAAAAGAGTTAATCGCTGAGATTATGAGATGAAAACAAAAATGATTTACAAACATATTTAAAGACTGCAGTAGCATAATGTCACACTGCAAATAAGTGCATCAGTTTTCTAACTAAGCTTTGGGAGATATTTTTCTCCTCCACCACATCTCCGGATTTACTGTAATGGGGAGTCGGTTCTCCACAATTAGTCCATTTGACAGCGAGTGCATGAGATTGACTACACTCATGTAAAACAGTTTTTTTAAATAAAAAAGTTAGAACCTTCATCTTCAATACCTAGCCCATAGTCTATAAAATCATCTCATGTAATGATATACTTTCTAAAGTAAAACAATCTTTCTAAAGTAAAACAATAAATATATTTTAAAATCAAAGCCTTTGACTTATCCACTGTTTTGATTTCGTGTCCAGAGATGCTCTGAGAGCCATCAAATCTGAAAGGTTGTGAGCAGCATTAACACATGATGTATTTACAGGCAGGTTTACATTGTGCTTTAAAACAAAAGTTGATTTCTTTAGTATACGTCAGTCTATAGTCTTAATTCACATGTAAGGCAGTCTACCACATGACTAGTCTGAGTTCCTAAAAAATAATTAGAAAAAGTCTAATATATTTTAAGCACATCAGTTGAATGACAGCAAATATCTGTTATTGGTTGAGGCAGAGAATAATTTTCTTTTTTTTTTCCATTGTTTTATGCAGACTATTTTTTTTTCCCAATGTTTGCTGTTGTTTTTTAGTTAAGGCTTTTATTTCTCTTGAATGGTTGGAAATCTATTGTGTTTTCATTGGCTGTAGTCAAAAGCTTTTGAATGTTGTGATAAAGTGGTTCAGTTTGTGTTTATCACTTGTCCCTTATTGTTGTTCATTTAATCTTTTTATAGTTGATTATCATGTTGAGAGTTTAATGCAAGTCCTTAAAAAACAAAGAAGAAAACAACAAAAAAGAAAAAGAAAAAAAAACAGATGTGCCAGATGTAAGTTTAAAATGATCTTTTAAATTTACATACAGGACTGTTTCTACTAGAAGTAATGTTACTATTTTAGAATGACCCAGCTAAAGTGCAGATATGAATCTTACAAAGAATGTGTGGATGGAGTTTAGAATTATGACAAGAAGACCTTTCAAACTAACAGCGACTTGGTTTCTACCTCTTTTCACGAGTCAGCTAAGTTTTAATGTGTGACTTGTACTTACCATCTGCAACAAAATGCTCTGGCACATGGAGAGTAACCTTGACAGTAAGAGGGCAGGAGTCCTGTGTAGCATAGACAATGGCGATGACACACGTGCTGATGGTAATCAGTGTCAGGGTGACCTTATTCAGGGGACTTTGTGAGTGGCCTAAAGGTACAGACACAGAGAAAAACAGAAAGAAAAATTCAGAGAAATATGGGTTTAGTGTTTTTTTTTTTTAAATGGAAAAAAATAATAATAATTCTGCACTTTTAACAGGTGAATAGAACATTACACAAATCTACATCCAACATTTTGATCATCAAAGGTAAAGCTTTCAAGCAATTTTCAAGTGAAAAGGAAATTAATTTCAAGTCCGTCTTGCAATATTGGCCATGACTCATATTATGACGTACATATGTGGTGCATTGCTGAGGACACCACAGCTTCTGAACAATAGTCTAGAATTATTTCCAAGTGTGATAAATTATTTTATCGCCAGTGACAGGGTTATAGATTGGTAGTTACTGTGCCACTTTGGCTCTGTCAGGCATCGTATTTCCAGGCTGGAGGATAGGGAACGAAATTAGCCGCTTAACCTCTGCCTGCTAATATCCATCATGGGATAGAACGTGACGGTTCAAAACCAGGTTTACTGGAATCTCACTGTGGTGGCTTGGAAATCCATATTATTGCATCTTAATGACAAATGTTGAGTTTGTATTACTCTAAAAGAACAGTTCAAAATCTGGAATGTTGATTGTTCATAAAATTATGTTCAAACTAACAATGGCTATAATTGTGCTTATAAGAACGTCCAATAGAAAAAACAACAACAACAAAAAAAAAACATTCAAACTCATTGATACATCAGAGTTCTATAAAAAAAACATTTATAGATATATATCTATAAATATATATATATATATATTGGAAGTCCAAAGTTAGTAAAGTGCAGCACAAGGTTAAAACCATGGAGACAAATTTAAGATTACAGAAAAAAAAAACAGCTGCCTCCGTCAGAAGAGGAAGTGCAGTTAATCCTTCGGGGTCGGGCCGCTGTCAGGAAGGTTCTGAAGGGGTCCCTCAATTACCGTAAAAGCTTACTGAGTGGAGTAAAGAATGTATGCTCACAGTGGCAAACACTTCCAATGTGGGCAAAAACCAAACACGTTTATTCTTCCAAACACTCACAGTAAACCATTCATGAATGCAAAAACTAATGTATTAGAGGTTGAGAGGGAAAAAAGCAGTTTGATTTAAAATTCATTTATTATTATTATTTAATGAACACTTAATTCCCACATCGAAGTATTTTCTACAATGACTTTGTCCGTTGAATATGAAAGCTAATTAAATAATGAATATAGTAATTTATTCTACTTTGTGTGTTAAGTCAATTTAGTGCTGTGTTTGTTTTTCAATAAAAAATGTGAAGTGATAAATAATAACAGATATTAATACATGAATAATAAACACAGCCAGGTAATAAAACCTGGATTTTTGATGCAATATTGTTGTACAGATTACAATCTTGTTAAAGCATACCAAAGGTAAAAAAAAAAAAAAAGGCAATTAATTGTTGCATTACTTGGATGAAATCATAAAAGGTGTGAACATTAACCATCAGCTAGCATTACTATAGCATATGAGCGAATATGATTTTAGTTTAATTGGATTGTAAAAGGATTAGAGTTAATTTCAGTTCCAAAGGGTTAAATCCTCTGTAGTTAGGCAATAGCTTTGCACCAACCATTACCATTCTATTAATGAAAAATGATTGCCTGGTTGTCATTTTTGGCAGTAGTGAGTGATGCAGCAGGAAACATTGTTGGGACTTTGAAATCACGTCAAGGAAATACATTAGAGTCTTAATCAGTCTTTAATCAGCAACTCAAAATGAACATTGAAGACTTTTAGTCATAAAATGCTCCCACTTCAGCGTGAATAGGTCCTCTTTATAAGCTGCTTCCTCGCATTTCAGTGTTATCAAGTTTTGTTAAACTCCACCCAAGGTTCCACATGTGGCTCAAACCTCTTTATACAGCCGTAAAAAAAAAAAGAAAACACACAAGTTGACATCTTTTTGAAGCAGATGTTTAACTAAAAATTCTACAAATGAAGATAAAGAATGGCAAGATCAAAATAAATCTGATCAACTCCCTCATGCTATATCAGCAATGAGTATTTAATCGTGCATAGTTGATTCTTCTTATTTTTCACAGAATTTCATAAATTATATTACTATGTTTGTATGAATTTTTCAAGTTAAACAAGAGAAAATGTGCTTGTAAAGGAAATATGTCGCATTTGCCACAGCTAATTAGCTGCATTTACAGACTTTGGCTTAACATGTTTGTCCTTGATGCGACTGCATCAACACTACAGCACAAGGACGGGCATTATACTTGTTTAAATTCTGTGCCACGGGCCCTCCTATATGCTAAACGTCTCTGTCTGCACAGCTTCCCAGACATGGTGTTTAGATTTTCAAAGGTGTTCAGAATGTCAATGAGAATAGACCAAACTTTTATCAACTTAATATTAAGTCTTTTGGAGGATGTGCTTTTTATGGCTGACTGACTCAGTTACAAATAAATCAAGTGCAAAAATAAATGATCTATGGAGAACTTATAGGAGCTGAAATTGTAGTGAAGAAATGAAGAAGTGTAACTTTAATTTACTATTAATTACTTTAATAGTTAAAGCTAATCTTTTTACTTTCAACCGGGAATTCATAAAATGAGCCAGGTTAAGTTGAAAATGTTACAGTCCCCCTGCCAACCAACATGCAAAGAAACATAAATACATAAATCCAAGTAGTAGTCAATCTAGTTAAGATTTTGCCTTGCTAGTTTCTTTATGGCTGTAGATCTCAGCTTAAACAGCTCTAGGTTTCGATTTCATAAACAATTTTCATATTGTTTCTGAAGTGACTACTTAAAAAATATATACATCATTTTTATCTAGTCAATCAATACGAATTTAATGTTGACATCTATTTACCATTTACAAATTGCTTATTTGTATTATTAACAAGAAATCGCTTCCTCTGAACTTTAATATTCTGGAGTACTTGTAAATGTAGAATGTATAATTGTTATTTATTTATATGCTTGTTTTTCAACCAACTTGTTAAGTAGTACCTACATTTGATCTTTATCTATTTCCACTGCATGACCATTCACTGGAGTTGATGTTAATTTGGACAACAGTGGCATAAGAATTGTATAACTTTTCCTTAAAGAAAAAAAAAAAAAGGCAAACATTCTCATGAAAATATATGGTTTCAGGCAAACTGTAACCAAGGAGATGAAGAGTAAATACTTTTTTTTCTTCACTTTTTTATGTGTTGATATTCAGAAGGACACACAAACTATGAGTTACATTTCCTCTCGGTCTTGAATATGGATATACTCGTCCAATGCAGTCTTCAGTATTACATGTCACGAAAGTTAAAAACACGACTACGGTCCAAGTCATTTGACTTAAGTTTCATTATCACAGAAACTCCATTTACATCAGCTCATATATCTCCTTTGAGTGTCATTGGCTGTGCTATAAAATAGCACTTTACACACCGCAGGGAGTGTGCAGAACTCCTTCCTATTTCAAGCTATGCTGACAATTCCAAAAATGTCTTGGCTCATTTCTCTTTTCTGAATGCCATATATATATCATTATTCCCTTCCGTATCCAGCCACTTTAACATTAGAATTCATTTGTTTTTAAGCACACTTTACTGTTTTTTTTATTCTCCACTTTTTTGCTTTTATTGCATTCTCAGCAAGTACAGACAAGCCCCTCACTGTGCACAGTGAGGAGTTTAACATATGACATTCATCACAAGGTTCAGAGAAAAACATCTGTATTTTCTTTCCTTACCTTTACTGCGCCTTTGTCCTCTGTTCTGCTCTGTATAAAACTTCATTTGATTGTCATCTTCAGGCTCTGAACTCGATTCCTGTTGGGGACCATACACACCTCCAGTCACTGCCGAAGAAACGTTGATAAACAAACAGGGGAAAAGAACCTTATTAATTAGACTCAACTTGTGTGGCCATGAGAAATCATCCTAAGCTTTCTCATTCAGGTGTCATGTAGAGAAAGAACTAATACTGCATAATCACAGTGACAAAATTGCAGATGAATTGTTCAGAGTTTTGATTTTTTTGACTCTTTTCAAGTCCCTCCTAGTTTGATTGGGGAGCCTTTTGTCTCTGGAGCTCAATTTTCTAATAACATTGTGTCAGATCTGTGGAGGATGTTTATGTGCCTGAGAGCACATCCGTGATGAGGTGACAGCAAGACAGAAGATGTGAGAAACTTTGTTGATACCAATACGCCAGCGAAGCATCAAAACACGCAGTCTTTTTTAACCGATTCTCACAGGGAGCTGCCTCAACGTGTTAATTGCCATTCTGAGGATTTGTAAGCTCTTAAAGTCTCTGAAAGATAATTAAATTCTGCAAAGCAGTTCAAAGCCATTCTAGAGCTTATTGAAATGAAATATAAATAAAGTTTAGGTATAATGTATTTATTTCTGGTGTGGGGAAAAAAAAACAGACCCTCAAATGAGACCATTAATGCTCCAGTTGCCCTTAAAATTCAACAGTATCATATGCATCACATTCAGTAAAGTATGTATCCCAATGTCTTATCTTTTGCAAATAACCTCCTTTAAGCCGGTATTTAAGAGGTATATTGCCTTATTTTTGTCTAATGACTCCTAGATGTTGCTTTTACTACCAGTAAACAAAAAATATCTTAATTAACAGAAATAAAGGTTTGAAAATATCTGTCTGCAATTATGTTTTTTTTTTCAAAAGTGTTGTAATTTACAATTAGACTGTATGTTATTGATAATCTCTGTCAGCCAAATTGGAAATTTAGGTAAATTAGCTCCAAAAATGGGAGAAATAAAAAAGACTCCACTGCACAGTATAACTTATTACATTATTGGTATGACTGGCCAATTCGTCATCAAGCCAGCAGATGAGACTGATGATTGCAAACAACAAAGAGACAGATGAAAAAGAAGGTGGAATCAAGGAAACAAAATTAACAAAACAAATATAATGATACTAATCATATACCAAATATTGACAACAACAATAATAATAATAATAATAATAATAATAATAATAATAATAATAATAATAATAATAAGTAACAGTTGCAAAACATGAGGAATTCAACTATATTGCCAAACGTTTTGGCTCATCCATCCAAAAAATTTAATGGATGTTTTTAAACACCTATGAAGACACAGGTATAAAATGAAATCAATGACCGAGGTATGCAGAGTGCTTCTATGGACATTAATGAAGGAGAAAGAGTTAAAGAGTTGCTCCCAGGAGTCCAGAAAATTCCAGATTTGTACTGTGAGAGAATTCCACATATGCAATAAGCAAATCTAATGTGCTGCAGTCGAATGTCGGTGTTGTTATAGCAAAGTGGGGGTTACTGGAAAGACATAATTTCAGTGAGAAAATGGTAGGCCACAAAAAAGTGAGAGGTCAGAGGATGCATGAAGTTCAGATTAAGTCACCACCTTTCTGCAGAGTGTGTGTGAGAAAGCATGCAAGCAAGTAATTTTGCAACAATAGTGTAAATGTGCCTTTTCCGTCCATAGCTATCCTACGAGCAGTGTATACTTTAGAAATGTCTGGATTGATATACATTTGTGTGTGCATGTGTTTGTCAGCACAAAAGGAAACAATATGTTTTTAACTTGTGCCTAAAGTGAAGGTTATAAGCAACACATTCATTTTTAAATTGTTTAAATAGTCCAAGTAAAAGTGGAGTTAAGCTAAAATAATTAAACCGTCTTTTTTTAGAATATCAGAAAAATGTTGAAACTGGCTATTCTGGGAATGTGAAAAAGAATGAGCTTGCAAACATAAAAAACAAAAATAAAATGCAAACTGAGAGACCTTTCCTATTGGAAATTTTACATATTCAGCCAAAAAGTATCTTTTGAATTTATTGCTGAGAAACAGAGTAAAGTTGCGCAAGTAATGATGAAAAGATTATCAATGAGAAGTGGGAATGGAGAAGCAAGTGCAGGGGGAAAAGCAATGAGCTGTCAGTATTGACAGAAAGTTTAGAAAATTATATACAAATTTGTAATCTGTATGTAGTTCAGTGGTTTTGTTTTGTATGCGTAAGACTGATGCCAAGAATTAATATACAGGAGACAATTGGGACTCAGTTTTGAGCTGGAAGATGAAGAGGGGAAATTCACAGCCAGAGTCTGAGACAGACAGTGACCATGTTGATGTTTATATGGAGAATCAATCATTCGTTTAAGAAAGAAAGGCTGGGGTATAAAGAGTAAGATGAGATCCTGGCATGCTCACAGTCAGCTTTTCAAAGATCCAAGAAGAAGAGCTTTTCAAAGATCCAAGAAGAAGAGTACTTATGTTGGTTTATAAATCACTAAATGGTATAGCACTAAAATATGTTGAAGACCTTTTGTTGTAACAAAAACTTTGCAGACCACTCAGATCTTCTGGTTCTTGTCTCCTCTGCATTTACAGAGTGAGAAGCAACATTGAGCTCCACTAATCTCGATTAAACTTCTAGAAAATTGCAAAAATGGTGAAACAGCTCATTTTTTTAAACAGAACAAAAACAAACATAATTCCTTACAGTCGCCTCTGATTATTAATAATCACTGCAATAGAGAGTAATTTGATGTATATCTGTTTATTATTATTATTCATGATTGCATTTGACCAATTTAATGTTAGATGCTTGCTTCATAATTGATTACGAAGCAATCAATTATCCAACTGCCTTGTTGCTGAAATATGCCTTACGAATAAAGCTGGCTTATTTGCTAGTCAGCAAACTTGGGGAAAAAATAAAAAATTAGTGATGTATCAAATACTTATTTTCCTCTCTCTGTGTGTTGATAACAAATGCCAGATGAAATATTTCTCTCTTTCACCCCATTAAATGATGTGCAATGGCTTATAAAAAATTGCCTGCATCATAAAGATTTTAGGCATGATTAAAAGTTTTAAGTCTGAGTAGAAAGTCTGTACTGGGAGCTCGAGTCAGTCTCTTGGTCTGGTGCACTTATACTGGATGAGAGTTGAGTAGGATTCAAGTGCTCCAGTACGGCTGTTTGGAAAGTGGAGCTCAGTCAATGTGGTGTAAAATTGGTTCTGAATTTATGCATCGTGTTAGAACATGCTCACAGAGTTGGTGGGAGCAGGGAGCGAGGGAAGAGGAGCAAACTCAGGGCTGGCTTCACAGGGTCAGCATACTGGATGTTCACAGAGCTGAAATAACCGTTACATTTTATATTTTATACAGAACAAATTTAATTTATTTAAAACTATTTCACAAAAAATGAAAAGAACCTACAAGGATACTGTTTACTTTCGCAGCAATAGTTGGATGCCCAATAATTTGCTGTATTTTTTTTTCTTGGTTGTTAGACATCCATTAAAAACATCCCTTTTAGAAATGTCTCAGCATCCTTGAGCTAAGAAGCAAAATATTTAATTTAGATTTGCTTTATTAATGCTGAATAACATTTAAAATACCTCAAAACATCAAAGAAATTTTGGGTTTAAATATCTCAAGCCATTCAAGACCTAGATGGATTTCAGATGAAATCAAGACCTTAACAGACATTGGTTTCAGATAAAAACAACAAAAAAGTAATGTTGTGACATTGTGACTTCAAATGGACAAAACCTGATTCTTTATTAAAACAAACAAAAAAAGAAGTGCATTGAATTGAACATACTGATTTAATCTCATGTGGATCTGATTCTTGTTTGTATTTTGCAAGTTTAAAATGTAACATAGGAAGTAAGCCAAGTCTTCACAGTTTTTATAGACAACAAAAGAAAGAAGAAAAGCTTTCTGGAGCTGTGATCGCACCTCACCTGTGAGTGTTTTATCATCCAGTCCACTCGGGAAGGAGTTCAGTGGTGGTACCGCAAAAGTACCAATTGTAACAGCTGAAATAGGCTGCACTGCATTTTATACCTTGGCACACTATCCACTGACAAAATGTGGCACTGACATTTCCAAATTTACAAAAACAGTTTACCAAATATGTCCATTTTTAAAATTTAGCCTGCATGTTTAGGAGCCAATTAGGCCTTGCTTGGAAACACATAAAATTAAATGTGCTTGTTTCACTCCATTGATGTCTTAATTATGTCTTAATGTCCTTTCCTCATTATGTATTTTGTGACATTCACCCATTTCTCTTGCAGCCAAACACCAACACAGCAGAATGTCGCAACTTCTTTCCTTCAAGACTAATACAGTCTTCAGACTCTTGTAGTAGTTAGAGAGGCAGCTTGAATTTAACAAAGTTACCACAGGTCCACAGTTTTTTATTTGTAATGTCATATCCACGGACAGGATGTGGCACAGACATTTACAAATTTGACTGATTATGTTCTTGATTTCTTGACTTATTTGTTTTGATTTCTTCCATTAGGTCAAACGAGGGAGCGATATAGTTGAGATGTGGCTTTAAAATACATCTAGATCTGTGCCTCCGCTCAGCTGAAATGTGAAGAAGTTTACAAAGCCATATCGCAATCATATGAACTTTGACAAATTACCTTAAGATGTAGTCATCTTAGTTAACGTTAACTTCAGATTTTGAAGAAAGTAACACAGTTTCTTTAGTTACTTTGATTTAAAATTATATTTTTTCTCTCTCAACAATAGTGTCTGTGAAACTCCGTCCTATAAACAAAGGAAAACATCTATGCCACTAAGGCTAAACAGAAGCATGTGTACACAAGAAAATCCCATTAAAAAGACGCATCATTCTTTCTTGAAGTTTTTCAGAAATAACATAATTTCAAAAATCTTTCACCGTCATCTACTGAGCTGGTATTTGTTTTGTTAGAAGCTCCATAAAACACCTATTTTGACTCCAAAATTGAATGGCAGTCTCCTTGTCTCACAGTACAAAAAACATTATTTTTTATGGTGTGGCATTTCTTTTT